AAAGCAACATATCACAAAAAGCTAAAATTTATTGCTAATGTTATTATTAAGTGGTATGAAAGTAAATGACATGATTGTATGAGGATAAGTATCCTAAATTTCACAAGAAAACGTGGGATTCCTTAAGGGGCTGTTAGGCTTGAAAATATAGTGCCTTTTGTTTTAATAAAAGTCTATTATTTCCTAAGCCTATAAGAAATAATTTAACGCAGTAAGTAAAAAAATCTATTGGAGATAATATGAATGGAAAAACTAAAAACTGTTGGGGAATAACCAGGAAACCCAGTAAATGCTTGGTAGGATGCGTGCATCTCCTCATCTTAAACCTTTGACTTGGGACTCTTGTGTAGCAGTGGAAGGAGATCCCTTTGAAGGGCATTTGAAACATACATTTATGTTGCATTCAGTTAGATGACTGCCTTCCTATCTTAGACACTTGAAAGGTAGATGATGTGGGTACCCATTTTTTTTAACATTGTTGCTTCACCTCTGCTGCATTATGATCTAGTAGTGCTACTGCAACTTAAAGTGGTTTTTTTTATGGTTTTCACTTTTTAAATGTCAACCTCAATTTTTTTTTTTTTTTAAACAAAGGAAAAACTTTCATAGTTTTCCCCTACAGGAGTAAATACAGAAGTGCTAAAAGTATTTTACAACCTTACTTGATGAATGCTTTTTTTTAGTGGTTTTGTAGTCCATTGAAAAATCTGGGCTTAAAGTATCACTGACGGTGCTCTTCAACTCGATCTAAAGTAAGTTCATGTTGAGTGTTGTTGCTAGGGAATTACTTTTTGATTCCTCAAATCACTTTCAGTATTATTCATAGTGGATTAGAAGCATAGCTCTTCCTAAATAATATGTAAGTCACCCCATGGGGTTATAGAGAACTTTCCCAATCAGCTACTTACTTGTGCTTTTTACTGTAGTCATTGTTTAACCTCTTACCTTTAGTCTGCTGGCTGAAGCCAGTGAAAATTAACAGCAGGGATGAAAATGAATTTGAATTTTTATTCTTTAATGCTGGATTCTAGGAGGCCTGGACCTAGCACATTTTACTCACAGCAGTGCTGAGAAATTTATAAGCTAAAACCTAAGGTTTTTTTTTTTCCCATGTATCAAAGCTTCCATGCCAGATATTCACAGCTATCATCTTTCCTTCTGAGGGAAGATGCTCAACATTTTGAGAATTTCAGTATTTGAGAACATGTCAGGCTCTTAGAACTATTTTCTGTGAAAAGACTACAGTAAAGAGAGTCAATCATCCTTTTCCTTTGAAAACTTTCACACTATATTTATAATTGATGCTGTTTGGCAATTTTGTGCTTTTCTGATTTGGAGGAAACAGGGAAAGGTGACTATGCTGAACCACATACGTTTTTCTTAAGACTAGTATACCTTAACACTTTGTCAAAAAATGTCTTGCAGTGCAGTCCTGCCTTCAAAAATACTCAACAATTTTTATTGCAGCTAATAATTTCCTTCTCACATGAGGTGTGATGTTGCTTAATCGCTTTCCTACTGTAAAGGCCTTTACAAGTCTGCTCAAGGGTTAACAAAGTATATTCAGTTGTTCAGATTTTTATGCTTTAAAAGTGAAGAGAAACCTGGTATATTTCTACTTCTGTAAATGTAGTATTTTGTATTTGGTGAAAGTTTTAAAAACATAACTGGTTCTTCTGAATCATGTATCTAAGCGAGCATTGTAAAGAGTAAAACTAGATCATGTAACTGATCACCAATTTTTACAACTTTAAGTGTAAATTCCGTGTCAATTTTCTTCTGTATACAGTTGTCTGAGACCTTCATCACTGAGAGTAATGCTTCCTTGCTGAAAGTATTGTAGTGTAAAAATCTGAATTAATAAGAAGTGTTTTCTGTAGCTCACAAGTGAAACAAAACAAAGACTTTACCTAAGTTTCTTCCTCTATTAAGACACTTAACAGCACACATTTAGAGGCTGAATACTCATGAACTAATCTACACCTATTAATGTCCCAATACTTAATCCCTTCCAATTTCTGCTAATAAATATAGGGGTGTTATGTCAAGTCCCCATTGCAAAATTATTCAAGTGTGTTACTGGTGTTCCACTAGCCCAGATGATTAATCATGTTTGCGTTTGTTCTTGTATTTAATGAGAAGCACTGCTCAGAAAACTTCTTGGGTTTTGTAGTTCTGTGCGTTGTTATGAGGATTTTTTTGTTTGTGTGTTTTTTGTTTTGTTTTTTTTTCTTTTTTTTTTCTTTCTAAATCGGAAAGCCAAGTTCTTCGCAAACTTGGAGCTCAAACTTTCGGCTTTTAGCCTTTCTGAAACTCAGGAGAAAGAGACCATGCAAACAAATGGGTTTCTAATAGAGTTTTAACTGAGGCATTGGATGGGCACCCTTAATCATATCAAATTTAGCTTTTGCAGGATGAGTGAAAATGTTGCCAATAGCTTCCTGCTGCTTGGTTGTTTTTTGTTTGTGTTTTGTTTTCTTTTTTTTTCCCCCTCCATGCTAACTAACCTTGTCTAATCAGTCAACTAATCAGTCTCTCTCTTATTCACACTGTTAATACTATATTCACATTTTAGAGTAATATGTTAACAAAACCTACTTCTGCTAGTGTTTTCTTCAGCTTGGTGCCCTTGTTACAGTTATACATCATTGAAGTACTTCATTCTTACGATATATACGGTGACTATACATCATCAGAGTAAGCTAGTGCTCTCATAACATATTGCATTAATACATCAACAAGCCTAGCTGAGGCTCCAGTAATCTATTGGTGTAATACACCATAAGGTAAGGTATATTTATAACTATAGGCTAGTCCATCTATAAATTATGGCTGTCAAGGAATTGGGATGATAGCAGGCAGATTTTGGGATGGATTTATTTGAGTGGTACGTTATTTTACTAGCCTTTCCCAAGGAGTTGGAGGTAGGTGTGGGTTAAGCCCAGGACAGCAGAGGAATTGACATGGCTGAACACAGTATCTGCATCACCTGCTAGGCATAGTGGTGGAATGAAGTAGACCCTAATATTGCTGAGATAAAGGGCTGTGCAGTACCATCCAGGTATTTTCACCATCTTGCATTTTTGCAGATCTGACTGTAAAGTCAGGGTCTGGATAGCTTCTGGCAGATAGTGGTGGTACACAGAAGAATCTTCTTGTGATAGGACCTTTGGAGTTTCTTCTAAACCATAAACTAAAGCAGACACCAAAACAGTGCCATTTAAGTAGAATTTTTACCGTAGCATGTCACAAAGTTAATTACTTTTGCAGGAATATATATTGGTGTTGTAAATATCTCTGATGGGGGAATTGAGATAGGAGTGGGATCGCAGCCAGTGTTTATTAAAACATCTTTTATTAATTAACTGCTGTTAATAGAATTAAGATGTTTACTTCCAGCAGATAATTGTTCACACAGTACATTAACTTATTCCTTCATACTTTACTTGCACCCACACGTAAAAATCACTCATAGCTACAAGGTTGGAGCAACAACTGTGAGCTGCTGACTCTGAAGTGGAGGCGCATGTTGGCTTACCCGTGGGAATCTGATGTGCTATACCCCTCGGCATGCACGCTTCCTCTCTTTGGCTAACGTTTTCTGGTTACTGTTTCTCCATCCGCAGCCGTAGGTATCAATAGAGCCCATTCACACACACTTGCATAGATGGGGCTTTTATGGCTTTGGCTGAAGCTTGGTCAGTATAGTGGCTGATGTCATGCTTCTGCTAAGAGCACTAAATTTGGTCTTGAAAGCTTTTCTGTGGGGTTCTCAAACCTCCAGTCTTCAGCTGTGTGTCCCTGAAAGAAACGTTGAGTGAACGCTCAAGAACGTGCACAGGGTGGGAGTGGGAAGTGTTATGAAGAAATGTTTAGAGACCTGAACGGGATGTATTGTTTACTGAAGTTATGAGGGCTTTACTTCGTTATATGCATTGATGCAATCTGTAGTTTGTGGGTTGGTGGCTGTTGTGATGTTTGTGTGTTTTGGGGTTGGTTTTTTTGGTTGGTTGGTTTCCTTTAATGTCCTCTCTTATTCCCTCAGGAAAATATTCTTCAGTCAGATTTCAGGTAAAAAGTAATTAGAACTTTCTGTACTTGACCCATGGATTTTATTGACTGACATAAAATAAAAAGAGGGGGGCTTTGTTTTAATTTTAAATATAAAGTGGGGAGGTGGGGTATTCAGACTTCTGCACCCTAGTTTCATTTGAAAATACAAAACTAAGAAAAATCTAACTAATGAAATAAATTGTCTTCATAATAGAAGTCACTTAAAGAAGTTAATAAGAAGTAGGTATTTCTTTAGTTCAATACTTTATTTGAAAAATAGTACTACATTAATAAAAATACATAATGATTCTGAGAGTATTGATCTTCTACTTCTTTTTACAATTCCGCCTCTAGTTTTATTTGTTTAATAACAGGAAAATAAAATTACACATTTTAACATCATCCAGCATTAATACAGGAGGTAAACTACCGCAAAAAAATAATCATGTAAATTGATATTTGTTGTGGAAATTGGAAAAGCCATGGGAGTCAAACTAACTGTGATTAGGCACTAAACTGTTCATTTTTTTTATCCCTAATCAGGAATAAGAAACATCTTTATCTCAGGTAAAGATAACAGTCCTGGGTGGAAGTACATCTTCAGAATATGAACGCTGGATTACTTGAGAAGCCTTCAGACAATGTTAGCCCATCTTTACTGAGACATGGTTTACGTAAATGCACTTTTAGAAAAAAGCACATTCTAGCTATGCTTTTTAAGGAACAGGTACCAGTGTTGGAAATTAAGGATAAGTAAACTCTTCTAGCACTCACTGACTCATGAGAATACTCTAGATGAAGAAAAACAACAAGCTGCAGTTTAGATTTAATTTGATCCAGTAATGGCATCTGCAGGCAGAAGAGGAGACTACATCTGATTCACCTCTGCAAATACACGCTATT